TACTCTCAAATTCAATTTTATAATGCACATAAACTCAACCAATTGAACAAATTTTCTCTAAGAGTTATCGAGCCACATGAAATCCTACAGGCAATAGATAGCTTTAGATCGGGTGCGCGTGGAATTGATGATCTAACGCTGACAATGATAGAACTTAGTCTTGTAACGTTAATGGAGTTACCAAATTAGAATATTGGGCTCACAAAAAGATATTTAAAAATTTTACACATGCTAACAACTTCGATTAAAAAAGCAGCCTTCACATAATACGTATTCCGTTATTGAAATTATTCGATTAATTTCGGACGCAGACTGTACTACTCGAAATTGAATGGCACGTGTTGTACGTGCCATCTCTTTTGCTCCGAATGCGTTCTCCCTCTATCCTGTGCGCAGTCCCAGCAAATCCTCATATCTCTTCCTACACTTGACGAGCTGTATATCCAGAACTGGCCGATACGACCTTTTTGTTCCTGTTGTATCAAAATCTACCTGAGGATGCTTTTTCCAGTTCTAGTAATCTTAGGCAGTCCAAAACTTGGTTTAACCAAGTTCATAGCAGCCACGGCATTTAGGCTTCTGCCTGTGCGGCTATGTATATATAAAAAATTGATCTAATAGTTATCGCTGGATCCTATAAAGGTACCTTAAGATTTTTAAAATCGCTGATCTCAATGCCGTAGTCGGCTCACATCTATCGACGTAATTCCGTGGGTGATTATTAGAGCAACACTTAGGCATGGAGCTTATCCAACACATCTAGCTAGATTCTGAATTATTGATTCCAACTTATGTGAACACTGCAACATTGAGGGGAACTTGGATCATCATTTTTTGGCTGTTTGAAGTTATCTCCATACTGTGATCGACTCTACCTTAATCTGATTGGCTTAGGCCTTATTTCACCATTTAATGTTCTCCACGTTCTAGCTTTGAACAGACTTGATGTTACGTGTCGGATAATTGACTTTTTGAAAACTTCTGGGTTAAAATGTTAGTTTTGATTAGCTAGATATCCTCTGTGTAACTATCCTCTGTAATTTACCTACCTAACCGTGGCATATTCTGAAAATGCCTTAATGGGTCCTTATGCGAGAAGAGTGTATCCCTGTCCAATTCCATCCTTACTTAGTTAGAGAAGTTCAAATTGTAAAAAAGGATCTGGTTAATGGGACATAGTCCTAGTGCCATAAAAAAAATTCCGTGGGCAGTTTTGAAAAAAATGATTACTCATTTTTTAAGAAGATTATTGTAGCTGCTTTGGGTGACGTTCGTTTTGCATAGCGAGCATTTCAAGGTTAAAGTGGATGACCTTGCAGGCAAAACAAACGCCATATATTACTACTCCACGACCCAAAAAATAGAACAAAGTTGTTCAAATTTCCTAGACTTTTTTCCTTTGACGTTAAAATGGCCTTGAAGCCGACCATTCACGGCATAGGGCTCAGATAAAAATTCGAAGATACTCATGTGGCGACGATAATTCTCAGATAAAATGTCGACCTACACTACCGATGGTACCCTAAGGAATAACCTAGAAGTTTCAGATCACGAGATCGAGCAGACATCAGCCAGACCAGATTTTTTTATACTTGAACCACCACGAAGGCCTAAGAAAAATTATCTTGGGCGGGACTTGAACCCGCGCACGGCAACTGATTGGTAGTCCCGCAACGCCTACCACTACGCCACTGCTGCTGCTCGATGGACCACTTTGAAAATTTTGAAAAAAATTACAGGATTCACATATGTGAAACAGACTATGCTAAGTGGTGCTGGGAGATGAAACTGAATAAACGATGACCTTGGTGTGTGGTGAGTCGGGCATTCTACCCGAAATATCTGCCTAGGTACCTACCCTGTTAATTTGAGTACTTATGGAAGATGATACATGAAAAATGTTTTTTACCATTTTAGTCGTCAACGGTGCCTTTGTGTAGGTTTGCTGTTTGGGTGAGAAGCTGTTCGAAATTGTTACACCTGTATTCGATCTGCATATGCGCTTGAGCATGGAGTTCATTTGGTTACACTTTAAATTATACACTTTTTGAAAAAATAACGGTTAACTTACCGGTTTCAAGTAAAAATGAAAGAAGTGTCTTCAAGATTTCCTTTTATTAAAGTATTTGATTGAAATCACAAAATACAGACTAGTTATTTTCAGTGTCAGCTGTCGTACCGGTTTCTGATGGCCGGCAGAAATAATGAAGTGTTCCGCTGTTGCGGCAATGATATCCTTCTCGACAATAGAGGAGACCACACCTTTCAGCTTCTAAAATCAAGAAATACGGTGTCTTACCACTAATGCTAAACAACTCGAGTATTATAAGGACTATATGTATATGGGTATTTCTCAGCAAATTCCGAAATTCATGGCCTGAGCCATTGATGCTAAATTGTATGGATTTATCATCAATTTAAAATTTTTATTATATCAATAAATATTTTAAAAGCAAAAATTTAGATAATATATTGACACAAAGAAAATATGATTAATTTATTAGTCTAAAAGTCACTCCCTTATCTCGTTCCTGGGACCGAAATTAATAATAAAAAAATATATACAATCAAATCTGTTCATATTCTTATAAATTTATTATTACTAAAATATTTGGTAATGAGTATGGTATAGTCAAGCTTTCATTGCTGAAAAACGAATATGTATATAAAAAATCTATTTAAACATTATGTGCCTTGAAATGAAATCATTCCCTCACCCATTATAAATATTCGATTTGTGGTCACACCATTTGATATTTTTGAAAGGCAGCTGTTATGTTTTCAAAGCTTGGCAATACTGCTAATAATGTCAACATGGCGGAATTTCGTAATAATGAAAAAAGAGTTGCTGCAAAACGGTATTGGATTTCAATAATTAGAACATTATATTTCTCTTTGTCATTACTTCACTGTTTATATTAAAAGATAAGTCATTATATTGATCAAATTTTTTTATGATTTTTTTCTTGTTTTGGGGAGTAAAATGCATTCACAAAAGGCCAAATCAATTTGAGGTGATGTACTGTTGGTTACGGTGTTTATGCAAATCCGTCATTCCCTCACGGTCATTCCCTCACTATATTAGGAAGTGAGGGAATGACAATTATATGAGGGAATGATTTTTGCATATACGTATATAAAATTGTGGTTTGGGTGTTCTTGTTTAGCTCCAGGTTGTACAGCATAGCATGTGTTTTCAATTTTAACAGATATCCGTATACCAAGAAGTTAAGTGAAAAAGAAAGGAAATTAAAAAAGGAGTACGTCAGAAAGAGGCGAGAACAAATGAAAAGTAGTGCTGAGTCTTTGGAAACTTTGCATGAAAAAGAAAGATTAAAGTATTTCAAGAAGAAGAGTATAAGCTGACCAAAAACGAAAACAATGAAAAAAGAATAGCAAACTTTATATGGAAAAGCTGTTACATTACAAATAAATTTACAGAGAATAGTTGAAGAAACACACCCATCATGTCCTGCACCATCTTTACCGCACAGAGCAGAGAATGTATCTGCTCTCGATAGACGTAGAATGCGCAAGCGGCGAGCTATTCTGTACGGGAAGATTACAAGTTTGGAAAATAAAGTAAGAAACGCAGTCCAGCTTAGTGAAAAATACAAGAAGAGGTATTCGAGAATGAAAACTATAAATACTGACCCAAACTCTCCAGCAGTTAATGTGTCTTCGCTTTTAAAGAATATACAAGCGTTGTAAGAAAAAGACTCATTTTCGGAGAAGCACTGTCAACGGATCTAAAGAATAACTATGAAGATCGTGGAAGTAAACATGGAGAAAAGAAAAAATATTACAAAATGTTGAAGCTGCAATTAGTACAAAAATACACAGTACTATATAGATCGAAACATTTTTTCAAAAACGATACGTACAAAAAGAACGGTACTCGTAAAGTTAGCTCCAAAATGCTGATAGTTAAGGGTGAAGTTGTTAATTTCTTAGAGAATGTGCCCAGGGAAGAAGTACTATCTAAGCTCTCTAAAGTATAGAACAGATCTCAATACATTTATTAATAAATTAACTTATGTTTTTATTGAAATTCACCATCAAATTGTTATAAAAATCATTGCCCCATCCTATTAGTCATTCCCTCATTTCAAAGTTCTTTAAAAGCCATTTTTCTACATGTTATATACAAAAATATAGAGGACCTTCATTTTCAATGAACCTCACTAAAGTAAAACTTCATATATCTGCAAAAAAGTCTATATTTTCATTAATTTTTATTTGACAAATGCAAAATAAAATTTCTAAATTTGTTGAGAAATACCTATACAGGGTGACGGGAAAATAGATGCGGAGCCGGTGGGGGGAAATAGTACAAGCCAATCTGATTGGCTTGTACTATCTCCCCCCACCGGCTCCAGATCTATTTTCCCGTCACCCTGCATACACTATATCAAGATATACAATTTTGGCTACTCCAATATAAAATTTTCGTAGGTCATATGTTATACATTCTTGAGATTCGGTCAACTTAATACAGTTATAAAAAAGACAACGTCTCGGCGACTTTAAACGCCATCGTCAGGTACATGTCAGTTACTAAAACAGAAAAACATTTCGATTCTTCTCCTCAGCAAGCTTTTTTCTGAAGTCTTCTGCATAGTCTTAATAAGTCCTATCATTATTTCTGTCGAGGTCCGTTTTATCCAGGACCATAGCATCTGCAAAATTTTTCTGTGTTAGAAACTGATATTAACCTGAATGGCGCTCGAAGTCGCCGAAACGTGGCGTTTTTAATAAATGTTTTGAGCCGACGGAATCCAAATAAATTATAACTTGAATTGATGTCAACGGTTAGGACTTCAAATACATTATTCGTCATAACTAAGATTAATATTTTTGTTGTCATAAGAATGACGTAAGAATCGTCAGAAGAGGAGATATATGTACACGTAATTAAAAGTGAATCAAAACAAGCATAAGTATACAAACAGGAAGAAATTTAAATTATTTGCAGAAAGGCGTACACTCACACTAAAAAGGTTTTTTTATACTCCAACTACCAGGAAGGCCTAAGGCCTAAGCACCCATTGGGTACCGTGGGGCTATAGGGGGATACATGGGAAAGGGGGGACGCCACACGGACTCTGGCGAGGGAACACGTGTGCATGCAACATGCACACATTCTGGCTCCGCCTACGAGAACCGCCGGGTGATACCTCCGCGTTCGACAGTCAAAGACCATCTACCACCAACGGACAATCACATCCATAGCCAAGAGAAGAATTTCTCCTGGACGGGACTCGAACCCGCACAGCGCACGGCGACTGATCAGGAGACCCAAGAGTCTACTACTGCGGCCACCGCTGCTGCCTAGAAAAGGTGATAAAAAGAAATAGATCACAGAGCTATAAGCAATATTGATGAGCACATAAAGAACTATGATCATTCAAATGTTAACTATACTTACGTGCACAAGTGATAGTTACGATAAAAATCGCAAGCAATAAAAGTAAGTAGAACAATTTCATCCTGAAGGCTCTGTTGCTGTTGGTAGAATGCTGAAAACCCAAACTGGATACACAAGCTCTCGAACTGAAGGTATTTATAAGTCTTCTAATCATTTCAATCAGCTGTAAGAAGATAAACTAACATGAAAATGTCGATAACAGTCATTATTACTTATAATTGGCGTGCTGATATATGTTAATTAGCAGGCGACTGCAAACTGATCATTCCACCAAAAAGGTGTATTACCTGCTTGCTGCTTACGATCTTCGATATCATTATTTTGTCCTATCATTTTTGGCTCAATTGAACGCATTTACATTTGAAATAAGTTTGAATAATAAGAATCTTACAGTTCGTTTCTATACCTTAGCAGAGAAGTACCGATGACCGCTCTAAAAATATATGATATAGAGTATATAGGTAAAGTTTTGGATTTCTGAATTAATTAAACGGGTAATTGTGTTCCAGCCTCATCTCGTTAATAGAATAGATATGTAGGACCTTCCTCCTCTCCGGCCTCTGGCCTACAAACTTTCATTCCTTGTTCTCGTGCTAAACGGTTAACACCGCACTTCGTTACGAGACCGTCGAAGTACAATTTTTCATTAACAACAGATAGAAATTAGGTACATCTATGGTCGACTAGCGTTACATTTTGCTTGAGATAGCAAATATCACCTGCTTCGTCATAGCTATAGAGCAGGACTGTAAACATGAATATGTCAGGTTAGGATTATGCCTGATTAGCGTTACATTTGTCATAGGTGGCACTGGTTACAGCAGGGCAATCACACTTTGCAGCTTCTAAAATGGAGGAATACAGTGTGTTATAGTTGTAGTCACCGTTTTTGGCGGTTATGACATCAAGGCCATATGGAATAAGTAAACAGATCGAGTCTCCGTACCATGGGCGCAGACTAATCTTCAGCGCATCTGCTGCTCTTCTTAGTACGCATGAAGTGGGTAACAGGGGACCGCTGTTTTTATTCTCTTCCTGTAAATACTCTAATAAGTTTAGCACGAGCTGTCGGCCTTCTCCATTGATGGTATTGTACGCCAATGTCAAGTAAATTGTCACTCTGACAAATATGTTAGAAGGGCACTCATACGTAACGACAAAGTTTTTGAGACGGAGACACAAAACTTAAAAACGTATGTCTTTGAGCTTACCGAACAATCGTTCACACAGGGGTAGGTTGCATGTGCATGTATGAGGAAGATGGAGATATACATATAACTCAAGTATTTATAAGGACTACGTGTACATCAAGGTTCCCAATCTTGCCTCCAAAAAAATGTGTAAGGTGATAATAAGACTGTGTTTTGTATTATTGGTCATAACTGAAACATATAAAGTAAAGTTTATTTACCAAAAATAATAATATTATTTTAAAATAAATATGAAAGCGTTTAGAATGGTAAACAAACAGGAAACCCACAGAAGCACGCACAGAAGCACACTAGACGATTAGCTTTGCACATCATTCTACGTAGGTATATGTAGACAAAGTATTTTTTTAATATTTTCAGGTTACATAAGCATGGTTCGAAATTTCAAAAGGAAGACTGAGAAGGGCAAAGCGCCGCCTGACGTACTTTCAAGAGCTGCTAGGTTAGTGAGATTAGGATCCTCAATAAGAAAAGTGGCAGCTGACTTCAATGTAAATTACCGTACTTTAGCAAGATACTGTAAGAAAATTCCAGAGTCTGAATTACTTGATGATCGAGATGTTGCGCCGTCAATTTCAGTTGGCTACATCAAAAATCATTTAGTATTTGAGCCTGGACTTGAAAATCACCTAGTGGAATATGTACTCAAAGCATCTGATATTTATTTTGGATTATCACCCAAGGAAGTACGTGGACTGGCATATGAATTTGCTAATGCTATTTCCTTGAAAATTCCGGAAAATTGGAAGCTCCATAAAATAGCTGGTCCTGACTGGTTTAGTGCGTAGTAGTTTCAATAAAACGGACGTCAACGCATTTTTTGATAATTTACCTTCAGTTATGGAAAAATATAAATTTGAGCCTCACGAAATCTGGAACATGACGAACCTGGGATTACAGCTGTCCAAAGACCCGACCGCGTTGTTGCCAGAAGAGGATTCAAACAGGTTGGTTCGATAGTTTCATCAGAAAGAGGAACTCTTGTTACTTTAGCAAGTGTAGCATCAGCTATTGGAAATTCCATACCTCCTTGTTTCATTTTTCAACGGGTACATTTCAAACCACATTTTTCAATTAAATTCAGCTCCTCTTGGCTCACAAGGTTCAGCAAACTCATCAGTTTGGATGAAGGAGTCACATTTCTTGGAGTTTCTTAGATTTTTTTCACCTTCATGTGAAAAGTACTGTGGAAAGACCGTGCCTGCTTTTACTAAATAACCATTTATCACATCTGAGTATAGGACTGAATTTTGCCAAAGAAAATGGCATTGTCATGCTCTCTTTTTACCCTCACTGTTCACATAAACTTGACCGCGCCCGTTTTCGGCCCTTTTAAGAAATATGTAAATACTTCCTGCGATGCTTGGGTTTTAAATAATCCCGGTAAGACCATGTCTATATACGACATACCTTCAGTGGTCTCTATTGCATACCCCCTCGCATTTACTCCCAAAAATATACAGTCTGGATTTCGGGTGTCGGGTGTGTTTCCTTACAACAGAGATATTTTCACGGATCATGACTTTCTTGCGAGCTCTGTCACTGATAGGCCAGATCCGGGTATCTTGAACGAAGCAATAACTGGACCAAACCCGGAAACCTTAAACGAAAAGAAGTTGGGCCAAATCCAACCATCTTGAACGAAGATGAAACTGTAAGTCTGATAAATATTAATACGCAGGAAGCAACAGATAATGTACTAGAGGGCAAAACAGCTAATCAAACTAGTTTTGATGATCCCTGCTGTAGTAGTTTAGTAAGGCTGCATGCGGGAAATACAGTATTTCCAGAAAGTTTAAGACCTTATCCAAAGGCATCGGCAAGAAATATGAATCGAGTTTCCCGTCGTAAACGAGGGACTGCAATGAAAGAGAGAAATAAATGAACAAGAAAAAGAGGAACAAGGAATCAGTGAAAAGGGACGTTTTGATTCAGAAGAAGTCCTGTTCAGATAATGAAACTGATGGAGATGAATGTTTCTGCTTGATTTGTCTTGAACCATTTTCTAACAGCGCGTCAAATGAAGAATGGGTGAAATGCTCATCATGTAATGGTTGGTCTCATGATGCGTGCACTGATGATCGCGAACTTTACATAATATGTCATAACTGCGATAGTGACTAATTGTAAAAAAACTCTTCTACTTGGTGTCTTATGTCTTATTTGTAATAATAAATATGTTTAAAAGTATGATATAAATTATTAATGACCTAAAATACACGTGACAACCAACCCCAAGCAATGTGACATCCAGCCCCAGTAAAGGGCAAGTTGTCACATTTGTTTCTGTATTTTGAAACATTTTAATTTAATATTGTGAATTATTTTAGAGCCTTATCGATTTTACATAGTGTTCCCAAACGATAAACCATATTAGTTATGCACCAAATATGTGCATATAACGCTTCAGATCGAATAAAAAAAAGAATTACTGAAAATTGTGTTTTTTAGAAGTAATCTATAATGTGTGAAATATGTCTAGGTGCGTAGAATTACTAATGTTGGGGGCGTATAAATATACCAGCATTAACATATTGAAATAAACTCTCCCGACCCGCTTTCAACCCTCACCCCAAGTTTTTTACATTTAATACTTTTTCAAAAATTTTAAGCGGTTTTCAATGTTACCCTTTTAAGCCTTTTTCTCTGTCGCCACTGGGCCAATTTTCAAAAACTATAAAGCTTTTGAGTCCTTGGCATGTTAGTAACATTGTGTAAAAATTTCACTGAGATTAGCGGACATTCCTAAAACATAATATCTCATTTTTTAGAATTTTCGCGATTATAATACTTCCTCGACAGTAGACGTGGAAAGTAAAAGGTGTGGATAACTTCGGGAAACAGTAAGATACACTTTACATTAGCACGCAGTTTCATTTCTCCATGTTAGGAAAACGGTAATAGTTGAGTGTTTTAAGTTGAGAACAAATGAAATCAGTGTCAATTCTTCCTTTTATTAAACCTTTTGACTGAAATAAGAAAATACAATAATCCTAAACGGTACAGTCAGATGTCGTAGCACTTCATATATGAAAGCAGAAATACCCACGTCCATTCACGCCGCAACGCCATCCCTTCTGGCAAGAGCCGTTACCACACTTTTCAGCTTCTAAAATCAAGGAATACAATGTGTTACCACTTATGCTATACAACCCAAGTATCATAACACATGTATATCAAAATCCCCAATTTTGACTCCTCGAAACAGATTGTTTAAGCTGATCATGAGAATGTTTTTTCTAATGTTGGTCATAACTTAGATAGATTTATTTTCGGAAGAGTTGGTATAAAGCACACATAATCAAAAGTAAAAGAAAACAGTACAGTACAAACAGGAAGAAATTCAAATTACTATACTGCCGTCATAAGCCAGAACTCAGTAAGTGCAAAAAATGTGAAAATGGTCATTATACTATAGAAGAAGCATTATTCGATGATAAAATACAATATATGTCATAATATGTCATAAATTTAAAATTTTTGTTTTAGTGTATCCAGCATTTTTACGATCACCTGAAATGAAAACATAGTAAATGACCGTATTCTTTTCATCAAGACAGATATCTTGGGCGAACTGTATTTAATGTTATACCTGACTAGTTATTTGTCGCTAAGGGATAGAAACAATTTAATTTGCTGTCAGTTAACTTAACAATCTTGGGATAGTGAATATTGATTTATTGATTCAGATTTTACTTTCAAAATTAATGGTTTACACACTAGCCGAAAGAGTGGAAGTGATGTATGGTGTCCAAAATCAATCTGCTCGGCAAACTGACGTCACGTTTAACGTCAGACATATACTAAGTGACATATAAATCCGAACACCCAGTTTAAATGGTTTTATTTTAATAAAATTTTGTATAAGTACTTAATGAAGCATAATAAGTAAATGATAAAAAATTCAAAATGATCGCACTGCTTTAATGCCCTTTGACCTTTAATAATGTGTGGATGCACCCTGATGTGCTACGCATTCTCCAACGCGCCTAGGCATGCGTCTGATCAGGTGGTCAATGTCCTCCTGTGGTATCTCATTCCATTCAACCACCAACTCCTCTCGAAGTGCTTCTAGAGACTGAGGAGGACGTTGCAAATTGAGCAATCTCCTACCCATCATATCCCACACGTGCTCAATTGGAGATAAGTCGGGAGATCTTGGTGGCCATGGTAACAATGTGA